TGTTAAATGATTTCGTGTCTTAAAATAAGCCCATCACCAGAAATAGTTTTAAATTGTATGTGATATGTTATTATTAATGTTGCTTGTTTTCATTCATGTTAGGCTTTTTCTATGTTCAAGTTTCAGCGAGACAATTGGCAACTATAAAAACTGTTATCCAATTTTAACGGTTAAAACTTTACAACTTCAATAGTTTTAATATATTTATGTGAGTTTAGAATAATACTATAATACTAAATAATAGATAAATGTATTTTTTGTATTTTTTAAAAACATGTTACAATCATTATTTCTAATTATAACCGCGTGTTATGGTTTTAATTTAGGGATTTATGTATTTAAAACAAATGTGATTTTTATACTACACCTTTAACTTTACTTTTTATTAAGTAAAATAATAATAATATTATCAACAGTTTTGCCTGTTTTAATAAATATATATATTTTCAATATTATGTAGAATTGATTTTAATTATTTTATAGTTAGTGTAATATTTACAATTAATTTTATTACGCTATAATTAGTAAAAAAATAATACATCCTCGTACATTCAAAAAATATACTCAGATCATGAATTAAAACTTAAAGTAAATGTTTGATGTACCAAAAAAAACTTTTAAAACTAAAAATAGTTTTAATAAGATTAAAAATAATCTATAGAAACCCAGAAAATTAACCACAAAATTTATATATAAGAAATAATTGTGCAAATGGAAATCTTTACCAAGCACATTCTCTGAAACAAATCATCAGACTATCGTGATTTTTTTAAATGAATGATTAAATTCCGGGTTAATTCGTAAGTTTATTTTTAATTCTATAAGTTTTTCGGGTTATTGATTTTTTAAGTAATCGCAAATACGTTTATAAAGCTATTGTTTTTTTTTATCCGTGTTAGCAATTATTAGTTATTAAAATATTATTAGAAATTAGTACTTTAGTGTGTAGTCGATATAGTATAACAGAACAAAACTTTTTCGTTGTTTTTGTTTCACACTTTTAAAATTTTTTGAGTCGTTGATATTTTTATCAAGAATGAAAATAAAATAAAATTTCGGTCGTTTAACAAAAAAAATTTAAATTATTTGAAATAAAATTCTACTGTTGGCATAAGCAACACTAGACGAGACATGTAAAGTTAATATGTCGAAAATATCATCTATACACCAAATCGGATAAGCAAAAATATTATTTATGCAAACGCGTTACGCTAAATTTTAGAATTTGGAAACCAAATTTAACACGAAATATGAGTGCATTTTGCATGGGCAACGAAGTGTATGAGGATAGCAGTGTTATATAATACGTGTTTCTAAGAAACAAAGTTCCAGATATCATGCGGAATTATGGCGTCAATATCGATCGATTTGAACGCAACCGTTGTTATTGTGGTCAATTTTATTCGTTGCTGCGTAGCAACACCTACAAAACGACATGTCTTGCACGATGCTGGTTAGGTGATCGGGTTGACACTGAGAGAGCAATCAGTCAGTATATAAAAGTGGTCGACATCGGTAGGTATATTATATATTATGTATGTACATCAATCATTCTCCCCTGTGGTTATTTTTGTATCCATACTTGGAATTGTGGAAGGTAGTTACGCCATTGACAGATGTCGGTTCGACGGGTTATCTCATCCCCTGCATTTCTTGTTTTTCCTATATTGCTGAAATTGTGTGCGATTGGAATCACATTCCAGAATAATAAACATTATACAATACTAGATATGTGAATCAAAGGTGCCAACCAAATGATTTTGATGAAATACTAATTGACTATCGTTACTCAATGGTTCATGTGAAATTACAAAATGAAATTTTAAAGAAAATCCAAAATATTAAATTTACAATATTTTATACGAAACAAATTTTTAATTATTCTTTTGTGTTTAAAATATTAAAATTTTAAGATTCCAAGATTTTGTAAGCGAGTCAACAGTAATAGCTATTATATTATATATTATTCAACTTTTTAAGTATTTTTATAGTACACGGTACACACATTATTAAATGTAAATTCATGTATATTATAGATGTAACATATTATGTATATTGAATACTGTATATTTTGATATAATAAATTGATTGAGCAACGTTTATTTTTGCAATTTAAAATGATTAAAATACTAAGATCAAAAAAATATCAACATAAAATGTTGAGTAAGGACTTTATCACTGCCTACAATATTTACCATTAAATACCATAGAATCTAGAAAGTAGTTTTATAAAAGGTTGCTATATAAATTACAAGCAGAAAGTATCAAAAATCGTAAATTAAATGTTAACTAAACAATGTTAAAGTTAATATTAAACTTATACTATCTATACAATATTTTTAAATAATATTTATTTTATTTAATTAAAAATGGTACCATAAGGTATGCTGCAATGCAAAAGGTCTTGTATATAAAAAAAAAAAACACAATACTTCTAAATTACATATTTTGTTAAAATATTTTATTATGAAAATAACCATATAATTTTATACAACATTATTATCTATTAATAATTGTAAGATAAATATTTCACATAAAAAAAAAAAAATTGTAAAGTTCATATAGTTAATACGAAAATGTTTTATTATATCTAGGTTATTTAATAAAAAATATATTTATAAAGTATAAGTTAATTGTAAATGTGTATATAAAAAAAATATTAACTATGTAATATAGTTTCTAAAATAATTTTAAATTATATATATATATATATATATATACAGATACATATATATATATCCAAAAAATACACATTTACACATATATAAATATATTTATTAATAGTAGTTTTATCTAATTAACTAATTCAGTCGTTCATAAAACATTCTTGAACTGTAATAAGGTTGGACGCTTACTTACACTATATTTTCATAGCATTCCTACGATATCTTGATGATTGCAAATAATTGCTCTATTATATTAATTGTAAAATCGTTAATTTAATTAAAAATGAACAAGGGTTTTTAAATAAAAATAATTATGATAAATTTAATTTTCAATTTTTTTTTATTTTTGTGAAATTGTTATGAACAATAAAAATTAATTAGGTTCCATAGTAGGCTTTTTCTTACTGAATTTATAAATTTTATAAATAAATATATATAACATCATGGAAATTTCGATTTTTTTTTATACGTTAACTATTTTTTTGTTTGGTACTTATGGCTCTCATTATTTTTTTAGAGAATATTTTTAACAAAAGATTGCATTTTATAAATTGGTCGTTTCTCTTCTACGTATCTACGTTTTTATACAAGCACTTAAAATATATTTAATTTAATCATACAATCGTACGTTGTGTTATTTAAATTTATTTTGTAGGCAACTTGATCAAGCCTAAAATTAATTTAGTTGAATGAAAAATATATATCAGTCAAATAAGTCTATTATTTTTGTGAATTTTGTAGATGTTAGCTAATAGTTTTGTCTCCTTTATTTACACTATTCTCACAGGCTTACTCGTAATTAATAATTTTACCGATAAATTATTTTACGGATTGTAAATTCTAAGTGGGTGGAGTATCTCTGTATTATTATCGACACAAAATTGATTGGTTTGTAATGATTTAAGTAAGCACTATGTGAGAAGTGGGCATCTTCTGTATACCGATTTTATTTGTACAGTAATTCAATTAATTTTTCATATATTGTATGATATGACTTATTAAGCCGAAGTCATTTTATTTGCAGTAAATATATCAGACAAAATCATTCTAATTAATATTATAGAGCAATATATAAAAACTACTAATAAATAATTACCTACTTTAAGATAATAAGTGAGAATTTAAGTTGATACTTATATTTAATGAATCTAGAAAAGTTAATGAATTTACTAGAATTATTATGTCCTTCCTCTATAATTACTATAATTTTTACGCAATAGTAAAGTTCAATAAATTATAAAAAACAGAAATAAATTGAAATTATATGGTTTTCAGACTAGATTTAATTAAAAAGCAGCTCAACTTTAAATAATGAATCAAATATTAAAAGTATCGTTCTAGCGTAGTGTGGCATTATATTTATTGGTTTTAAAACAATATGTCTTTGGCAGAGAAATTCTCAAAGGTTGTGTAAACGGGCAATGAACGCAAACGATTCCACAAGAAAACAATCAAAAAAACCCGAATTTAATTCGACAGCTGACAAGATTAAATTTCAATCCCTCTTAAATTGTAGAAAAAACATTGTTTATACTATAAATATATCTCAAAAACATGCGTATCATATTTTAATCTCAACAAAAAATAAATCAACAGCGAAAAAAATCCTTAGATTATTTTTGCTTATTGATGTAAATATAACTTTAAAAACTATTTTAATTAGTTAGTTGACTGCACTACTTCATTAATTGCAAAGATAATTTGTTTCTTTATGATTTTTTTAAATTAATAAAATAAAAATATTATCGCAAATGCACCTTGGTTTATAAGGAACGTAAACCTACACAAAGACCTTCAGATCCAGGGAATCGTTGACCACATAAAATTCTCATCAAAAAACTTCCATATCTCACTGCTCAACTCTTCTGGCTCACTTCACTATAACCTCCACGTACATCCGCCTCAACGTAGATTAAAACGTGGACATCCGCATGACCTTCTGGTTTAACAACTTCACACAATATATAGCAGCTGTATGTTACTCGTAGTCTATATATAAGCTTTATAACTTGTTATGTATTACATCTGTTTATACTTGTATATTATTAATTATTATTATATGTGTTCACTGTTACTTAAATTATAGTCAGTTATATCTCGGTAACTATCACTAATGTAACGATCACTAATGCATGTATACTTGATAGAAAATTATCTTACTATTTAAATTTCTATGTATATTAATAATCATAACCAAATCAAATTGTTAAAAAAAAAAAAAAAAAGTACCATTGTAAATATCAATAGATGTAGATAGCCAAGGCTAGGAACATCTTATCTTACCTTAATATAAAATTAAAAATAGAATAAAATAAAAAATAAAAAAAAACTCACTCTTCTCTTGGACTTGATATGCTCTAGCTGCCTCTGTGTACATTCTCCGATGCTTTGACTTCCCCACAGCTCGTTACCGATCATAGCGTAAGTGAAACCCATCAGTCCAATAGGAATGAAATATGTAATTATCATAAACGAAACGTTATAGCTGAAATTAAATGAAAATATATTGTATAATTATAATCTATGTAAAATATATAACGTTTGTATATACATATTCTAGGCTATAATATGTTTTTATAATATTTTTTAAGTTTTAACCATGTTTACAGACCATTTTATGTAATCATTTTCAACAGGAAAACATTATAAATTGTCTCACAGTTATACTATAGTTTTTTCTGTGTTTGATAACGATTCAAAGTAAAAGTTTTATATGTTTGTAGAATAGTTTTATATTGTTCATTTGTGTTCATTAATCATACCTAAAGATCAAATTATTTTTTATTTTTTTGTTTATTTTTTTTTTTCATATTTCCGTTTTGTCTTTTTATTTCATATAAGCATTTTACAGCAACAAAATCAAGAATCTTTTTTTTATTCACAATGAACGGTTTTAACAATCAGACACCGCTTTTGAATTTGATTTATAATTATGAAAACTTCTAATGGAACATTAATCTTCAACTTTGATATTCATTTAAACGGTTTAATTTTATGTATGTAATACAAATACGTTTTTAAATTCAATATAAATAATGGAAACTACTCTTTTGTTTTACAAAACAAATATATCAGCATGGCACAGATAGAAATTCTAATATTAAGTTTTTAACATCCAATCGCATCTTAATTAAAATATAAAAAAGAAGAGCCCACTGCCACTTATTATGATTACAGTAAAATATTTCCTAAAAGTGAGATAACTAAATCATATAAAATATTATATTCTTATAGAAGATTTAATTATTTTGTTTTATTACAAACATAAATATAAATAATACAATTGTAAGTAAGTATATAATATAAAATAATATTTCAATAAGATTATTATACTCTTAGTTATACATTATGAGATGTTATGGGTTTAAATTCGTTAAAAAGAATAAAATATGCTTAATTATTTGCACAGATAGGTCTTAAATATATCTTTTTTGCCTTTGTGGTAATATTTATACATATATTTATTTTTTTGAAATTAAATATTTCAACATATTGCATGCTATTAAAAATTTGCAATACTAATCATATGTTATGCTAGTGATATTGACATTTAGTATTAACATGATAATATTTTTTATTATGTATATTATTAGTTAAATTTTTGAATTGATTTTCATCTTTGTTGACGTCTGATGCTAGTAGACTTAGTGCTTTATGTGTTTTTAATCGCCGATTTTTTTGTTTTGGTTCCCGAGTAGTAGAAACGTGCGTTGTCGGATGTTTTGAGGTTGGTGTGGAAGTTTTTAAATTAATTTTTAATCCAGTCTTGTAGGAAAGAAATACTTTTATTATTATACATTTTTCTATTTCTCATAAAATATGGAGCTTTTAGCCATACATTTTTATTAAAATAGTCATAATTTAATATTACTATTTCTCATAATATCAAAGACATGTTATTGGATATTAATGACTTTTTGCATTAACATTGATATAAAAAATTAAAAATTTTATAAAAGGTGATAAAGTAATTATTAGTACTACAGCGATAAAATAAAGTAATTAAACTTATTCATAAATCTTCAATTCTACAACATTTTGTATTCAAAAATGCAATAACTTTTAATTTGTAATGATGTATAATTTTTAGAATCTCAATATAATGATATTGATTCAAGGCTGTGTTTTCGATTACGTTTGATAATATATTATATAAAAAACACTATCTTAAGCTTCAAACACAAATAAATTGTTAGTTGAAAACCTGACATCAAATAAATTAAATATAAACATAGTTCATGCGTAATAAGTTTTAAAATATAATAATAAAATATAAAATATAAAATATACAATAACAATATTATTATTTTTTTAAATATTTATTAATATATTAAATTTATATATTTTCAACATCATTACGTCGTATAACATTATGTATAATATAGATAGTTATGTTTTTGTTTTTATTTTACATAAAAAATGTCATTATGAAAATGAAAACTGACAAATTAGTCTAATCATAGGTTTTTTTATGTATAACCCATAATTCGTATAAACAATGTATTCAGTTTATTTAATGTTTGTATGACATACAAATATATATGCCAAATAACCCATTTGATCAATCGATCAAATATTTTTTTAAATTGCCATACGTCAACGAGATCTATCATCAAAAGACTTGTTTTATTTTTAAGTTTTATTTACATAAAAGGTCACTTAAATATGATTTCATTACTGATTGACTTTTTTATAGGAATATTGTGTTTAATATATTTTCTATACTTCTATGCTAATATTCAAATATTTAGTGGAAATATCCTGAACGAGTCTAAGAATAAACTCAATTATTTGAACGAAACCACAATTTTCAATTGTCTGATCTAAGTTTTAGGATATTTTCTTTTAAAAAAATAAGACTACGAAATTGTGACATAGAATTTATAATAATAAATTTAGTTATTCTTGTTTAATGTTCACATACTCCTATTTATTATCTGAAATTTGCAGTAGGTATATCTATTTCGATTTATTACGCTACTCGGCATAAGCTTAAAAAAAAATAAGTTCACGATGAATCATTATGTCATTTGCGTTTAACCCACATAGTAGTCGGTATAATATTCTATATACAATTTAAAAATGTTTTATTTGATTTTTAATAATTTAAAAACTGTTATTGAGATTGTATAAACGTATCTAATGATCTATAACATTGACAGTTCAAATAATAAGTACGCTATATTAGATATTTCTTGCTGCATATTATTTGTAGAAAAACGTATTAACTATAAACATAATAATTATAACTATTTAAATCGTCTTAGAATAATTTTGAAATAAATTTTGAACTTTATAGATTTACTGTTATTAGTTTCATAATTTATGTTTTATAGTAAATCAATTTTTATAATAAATTAATATTAAATATTGCAGTTAAAAAAAAAAAAAAAACACATTTTATATGTTATAAGTGTATGTTTAGTATAATTGCAAGGTTAAAAATTTATGTATAAATAAATTGACCTAAAATAGTATAATTTAAAACAAACTTTTATTGTAATTTGGCTAATGTTTAAAACATATAAATTATGAGATTTACATTTGAGTAAAAATTGTAAAATATTAATTGACTATGTTGTTTATTTTTAGAACATTCAACACATTGTATTATGAAAATTTTCAATTGTCAACTTGCTTAAGTCATAATCTAACTAATGTCCAATAATTAATTTTTCTCACATTAAGGTCATATGGAGAATGGCCATTATTATATTATTATAATATTATAATATGTAATCTACACATTTAGTCTATTAGCGTCCGACTGATATTGTTCTTCTTATTATTATCATTGGTATGATTCGTAACTGCATAATACTAGAATACTAGTTTAAACATATTATATATATTTCGATGTGTAAAAAATATTCAATAAGATTATTTTTTCAGATGAAGATATAACACTAATTTAAGTTTTCTTTATCACAAAAATAAAATTCATAGCCGAGTTTTTAATTTTTTTAATTTAATGACCTTTAACGTTTAATCTTCCATTAAAAAAATAAGCACACAACATAAAAATTTATGTATTTAATTTCAATTGAACCTTAGACCATGGTTAGTGACAATCACTGTTAGAATAAATTTTAAAACTTATCACGGTTTGAAACAACACTACTTGGACGTTACACATTCTACAATGAAATCAGTGTTTTACTTTTAGATCAAACTATAGAAGACAATAGTGTATACATTTACAATCATTTTCAGAAACATTTCACAAGCTAAAATTTACTTCTGTTAACAGTAGACTTTACAAAACTATACTTAGGGTAAATAAATAACAATGGCAACGTGTGGTTGACGGAGTTAGGAAATAGGTTTGAAATCGACTTTACAGAGAGGATTTTTGTTGGTAGTTATTATCACTAATCCTACTAAGCATAGTTACTGGAAATTTATTAAATTTGAAAAATGAAAATGGTAAGAGTAGTAATAATTTATACATTTAAACAAATAAATATTAAGTTACCAAAATAATAAAGATTTTAAAATTGAATTATTGTTCAAAAACTCAAAATTTGATATTTGATGATTAAAAAATAAATTCTCCAACTCCAGCGTTATAAAAAAATCTTATAATGATTTTCACGATTCTGAATTATTCATGATTGTTTAACTTTAAAATATTTAAAATAAGAAGATTTTCATTTATGCAGTGATAATGATCATTTCAATAATATTTTATTTTTTTTTTTACCATATTTACCTTGTTAACTAAATAAAATGTTGTTAAAAAACTTTAGCATATCATGTTTAAAAACATAATATAAAATAAAACCATCAGATTATTCAAATTATTTAAAAACTTTATTTGTGAATTGGGTTTATTCTGTTCATCAAATTCTACAAAACTAACCTGTTCCTCTGTAGTTTATTATTTAAATTACTTTGTAAACAAAGTTTTGTGGGGGTTAAAGCTTATATTTACATCATATGAGTATTTTTCGATATTTTAAAACATCAACCCTCATGAAAAACTATAAATAAAATTTTATTGGTATCTAAAGAGTTCTCAGGTAACAATATTTAGAAATTTAAAGTAATAATATTTGGGTACATAATATTATGGTTATGGTTCAAGTTTGTTTTTTTTAATGTAAATCGCTGTTTGCGTGTAAAGATTTTGCTGAAATTAAAATTATATTTCGGTTTTTCTGTAGTTGTAAAACACCTAACTCAATGATTTTACTTTTAATGTAATACGCTACTCGTTTATACTATAATGCATTTTAGGGTTTCTCTTTTATTTAAATATCAATATATATTTTGTATTTCATAATCTTTTGAAAATATCGAGTACTTAGGTCTTGAGTATTATTTATTATATTTTTTTTACATTTTGAATATTTATCCAACAAATGGTTATGTTTAAGAATTTCAGTACTCAATGATAGTAGAAGTATTTTTATTTGTATTTTTTACTTTATTTATGCCTATAAAAACAGTAAGTTAAATGAAAATATGAAAAAAAAAAATTGG